GTTTTCCTCACTGTGTGTCACCAAGTGCTCAGTGAACAACCGGACAAGCATGAATGTCAGGAGGCCCTGATAAAGGCCAGAGTGTCTAAGTGCCTCCTACCTACATGCCCAATGCTGCTCTGAATTCTCTAGAAGCACCAAGCTTCACATACATGTTTCAATCAATGCCTACCTCGAAGTTATGGCCATCACATGGAAATTATCTGCATTTTATAGCTGAGGGAACAAAAAGCTTCAGAATGCTTGAGTAAGTTACTCAAGTTTTCAGGGTTACTGATAGTGTCAACTTGGGATTCTGGCCCAGGTCTGTCTGACTACAAATCGGAGTCCCTAAGTTTGCCTTTCTGGTAGTATGTGGGCTTGCAATGACTGTTCTGTACAAAACCAACCTGTGTGGAAACCAAGTCCCTAGATTTGCTCTCAATAGCATCATACAATAATCTGCTGAAGTATAGAATATGACAATAATAATTACATGCTTACAGAATTTAAACTCATCTCTGTCAAGGGGTGAATTATAAATCTAGTATTATAATTTATGAACTTTATCCTAAAGAAGAGTGAAATCGTCAATTCAGAGCACATCACAACTGTAGTTAAGATATCACGGTTCATTGTGACCTTTGAAATCATTTGTTGTCATTTGACTTAACTGTTGTGACTCTTGCATCTGAGCAGTTCTTATTGCTAAGTTTTGATATATACCACTCTCTGAAATACGATGAAGGAGGTCTGCAATCATCCGTACTTGAGCAGCACCACCTCTCTCTGAGATGCACCTACCACAAGGATAACTGTATATACAATCTCCTCATGACCAGCAAATAGCATCAGTCTGAAAAACAGATATGGGCAATGAATTCAAATGGAATTTAACATACAGTAGTACCTGTTATTGTTGTTGTTATACATAGATGATTATTTAAGAGTACAATGATTTATTGATTTTATTTATTTTTTTTAGTGAAATTTGATTTTTTTCTTAGTGGATTGTGTATCATTTTCAGGGATTGGACCATTTCATTTAAAAACAATTGCCAAGTTTCATCCACTGTTTTAAAAGCTGTTAACTTGCTCTTAACATTTTGTTTTAGTAATAGGAAATATTAAAGTGTTGTTGTTGTTGATGTCATCCCCACACTAATGGTAAAGATCTTTTCTTTCTCTGTTTGTTTGGGTTTTTCTACCATTAAGGGTTTCTTGTTTTGTTTTGTTTTCAGTAAACAATCTGCTTAGTATTTACGGGGTAGTCTGTAAGATTTGCATGAATTTAGTTATTTCTTTAAAGCTGTATTTACATACCCTGACAAGACATTTAAATTGATGTAATTCCTTTCCAATTGTAAAAATGGTGTACTGACCTTAGAGTTTCTGTAACTTCAGGGGGAGAGAGAATCAAGATCAGCATCAGCCCATGGCTGATTCCTATCATGTGGAGGTCAGGCATACCTCCTCACTCCCACCTTTTTATTAATTTGCCATCTTCCCCCCGACACACACACAGAGCTCTTCCTACTTCTCTGCTGGGTTTGATCATTTGCTGCAATGTTGACACAGAACTCATAGACAATATTCACAGTTTCACAGTTTTAAAGTTTATTACAGAAATAATTCAGTTTATAATTCAGGACTAGGAGCCACTTAAGATAAAGTTTTTCTATCAGGATTGCTTTTTCTCAGCCATGCTCACAGGCCTTTGGCCCCTCTACCTGGCCCCAACCTTGAAACAAAGCTCTCTAGCTCAACCAATCAGTGCCTGGAGGCACCCTACTCAGCCAATAAGCCTTGGCCCTAAGGCACTCAGCTCTCTCACTCTGTGGGCCTACTGTAACTACTTTGCTCTATGGACTAGGAAGCCTACCTCAGCATCTCCCATCAGTCTCCAGTTCTGCTGCCGCCACTTCTCACTGTGTTGTCTCCTGAGTCTAGAAGGTTCTCAGCACAACCAGGTCAAAAGGGCATGAGCCACTCCTGGTTCTTTTTCTTGGTGGTAGTGAGGGCACCCCTTTCCATCTCTGGGATGGCTCCTTCTAAGCCTAGCAGGATGCCAAAACTGACCTGTGCCCTCATTAAGCTTCCATGAACTGTGTTTGCATAGTCCCCCTCTCACAAAGGTGTCATGCACATTCCTAACATTATTAGTAAACTGTCAATTCCCTTGGTGAGCCACAAGCATGCACTTGCAGAGTCTCGCCCAATTGCATGGTGGGAGTTACAGGATCATGGCAAGAAAGGCCTTATAAAAGCGTTCCATCATACCACACCAGTGTGTTTCCATCACTGAACTTGTGTTGTCATTAAGTCAGTACCAGTTCAGTGAGGCATCCATACGTGTGCAAAGTAGAACTGCTCTGTAGAGTTGTCACAGCCATGAGCATGTGGAAACAGATTGCCAAGCCTGGCTTCCTAGGCACGTCTGGATGGGTTCGAATTGCCAACCTTCTGGCTAGCAGTGGTAGTGGTAGTTATGTGCTGTGGAGTCAGTTCTGCTTCATAGCAACCCTGCACAGGATTTCCAAGGCTATAAATCTTTACGGGAGCAGAAAGCCTCATCTTTCCCCTACGGAACAGCTGGTAGTTTCGAACTGCTGACCTTGAGGTTCACAGCCTGATTCGTAACCACTATGCTACCAGAGCTCTGCCTATTTGCATCCTGGTGTGGCACTGTAGGATAAGCACTCCACTGCTCACCATGAGGTGAGAGATTCAAACCACCAGCTAATCCTTGGAAACCCATTACAGGGTTACTATAAGTTGAAACCAGCTCCATAGCACTTAACAACAACAACTTGCATCCAGGGTACAGGGTATGACATGTTTACACAGCAAAAGGAAGTCTATGATTTGATGGAACTTTTCCCCTGGACGAAGGAGCATTTGTAGATTCAATATAAACACTATTACTACTATTGACTATGTTTATATTCAAAGAATCCCTGTTATGTGATACAATGGATGACATATGTCCTGCTGCCAAGTCCCGATGGCATTTTCCTATTGTCTCTGAATTATACTTTCCTATCTCTCATCTCTTACTAAAGTTCCTACTTCCAAATAATTTGAATATGCTATTCTATATATCAAGCCATTTAAATTGTAAGGTCGGCAGTTCAAGCTCACCAGCTGCTCCTCAAAAACCCTATACAGGATCATTATGGGTCGGAATCGACTCAACAGCACTTAACAACAACAACAACATTCTATATATCATTTAAACATTTGTAATTGTTAAGTGCTATTGAGTCAATTCCAATCCACAGTAACCCTGTATCGGGTTTTCGAAGAGTGGCTGGTGAGCTTGAACTGCCAACATGGCAGTTCAAACGACTTTGCAGACCAGTGGATTAACCCACAGCACCACAACCAGGGTCTAATTAAAATGTGTTGTTATTGTTGTTGTTAAGTGCTGTTGAGTCAGTTCTGACCCATAGTGACCCTGTATAGGGTTTCCAAGGAGCTGCTGGCGACCTTGAGCTGCACTACTGACCTCACAGTTCAAAAGTCTTTAACATTTGAGCATTAACCCTCAGCACCACACGAGGACTCCAATTAAACATTAAGCCTCCAAAGATTAAAATTCGTAACATCTGTTTATATAACTAAAATTGAAAGTTGGGTTCTTACAAATTATTTTTCCAGGGCTAAATATTTCTTCGAGTCCCTGTGTGGTACAAACAATTATCACACTCTGGTAACTGAAAGGTTGGAGGTTCAGATCCTTGGAAGAAGGAACTGGAGAATCTACGACAAAAGCAGTCATTGGAAACCCTATGGAGCACAGTTCTATTTGGACACACATGACTCGTCAACAGTCACTGTTAACTTGATGGCAACTGGTAAATCATCTATGAGGACAACCAAAAATGTAACTCACATCCATGCTTTAGGTGTTTTAGGCTTTATTTATTTATTTTTTTAATGACTTAATTTTTAAATTCATCTGAAATTTTGTGCAGAGAGATTTGGCCTTCAGTGTTAAGACTTCATCTGTCCCAGAAACATCCAGATATTTCAGTTTTCTTCCTTAAATTGATAAGAAGCAGAATTGACTGAACATGGGGAGACTGAAACCTATCCATCCTTGACTCTCACCCCCTTTTTGTTTTAATGGCTTAGAGCACAGTTTCAATTGATGATTCAAATCTCTTCTCAGGATACTAAAAGAAGTGTCTGCTGTCTCCCTCAAAATAGATGTGAAAGTATCATTATTATAAAGAAACCAGGACTGTTAAGTGGCTTAACAATTACAGTAAAACTTAATTTGGAGTACTCTAGCTCAGAGATTGTCGAGCT